GGTCTTTCCATTTCCTAGTGTCTTCTGCAATTTCTTTCTTTAACTTTTTATAGTTCTCATTAAATAGTTCTTTTACATCTTTGGTTAGGTTAATTCCTAAATATTTTATTTTTTGGGAGGTTATTGTGAATGGGGTTGCTCCCTTTATTTCCCTCTCTTCCTGTACATTATCAGTGTATAGGAAGGCAACTGATTTTTGTGGGTTTATTTTGTATCCTGCTATTTTGCCGAAGTGACTTATGATTTCTAAAAGTTTGGGGATGGAGTTTTTGGGATCGTGGAGGTATAGTATCATGTCGTCTGCAAAAAGGGATAGTTTAACTTCTTCTTTCCCTATGCGGATCCCTTTAATGTCTTTTTCTTGCCTTATTGCCCTGGCTAAGGGTTCTAGGACTATATTGAAGAGAAGTGGAGACAGTGGGCATCCTTGCCTTGTTCCTGATTTTAGGAGAATTGGTTGTAGCTTTTCCCCATTAAGTATAATATTGGCTATTGGTCTGTCATAAATGGTTTTTATTGTTTTTAGAAATGTTCCTTCTATTCCTATTTTCTCCAGAGCTTTTAGCATGAATGAATGTTGAATTTTATCAAAGGCCTTTTCTGCATCTGTGGCGATAATCATGTGATTCTTGACCTTGGCTCTGTTGATATGTTGGATTACATTTATTGACTTACGTATGTTAAACCATCCCTGTGTCTCTGGGATGAAGCCTACCTGGTCATAGTGTATGATTTTTTTTATGTGTTTCTGGATTCTGTTAGCTAGAATCTTGTTAAGGATCTTTGCATCTGTGTTCATCAAGGAAATTGGCCTGTAATTCTCCTTTTTGGTTGGGTCTTTGCCTGGTTTGGGGATGAGTGTGATATTGGCTTCATAGAATGAGTTTGGGATAGCTCCCTCCTTCTCTGTTTCTCTGAAGAGCTTGAGGAGTATGGGTATTAGTTCTTGTTTAAAGGTCTTACAGAATTCTGCTGTGAATCCATCTGGTCCTGGGCTTTTTTTTGTTGGAAGACTTTTGATAGCTTCCTGTATCTCATTATAGGATATTGGCTTATTTAATTTGTTAACTTCTTCTTTGCTCAGTTTGGGCAACTTGTATTTCTCTAAAAATGCATCCATTTCTGCCAGATTTTCTTCCTTTAGAGAGTATAGCTTTGGAAAGTAGACTGTTAGAATTGTTTGGCTATCTTGGGTACGTGTTGTGATGTTTCCTGTGGCATCCCTAATCCTATTAATATGGGTTTCCTCTCTTCTTTTTTTTAATTAATCTTGCCAACGGGCCATCAATTTTGTTTATTTTTTCAAAGAACCAGCTTTTTGTTTGGTTTATTTTGGTTATGGTTTTCTGATTTTCTAATTGGTTAATCTCTGCTCTTAATTTGGTTATCTGGCTTCGTCTAGTAGCTTTAGGTCCCATTTTTTCTTGTTTTTCTAGCTGTTTTAATTGCAACATGAGATTATTTACTTGGTCTGTCTCCATTCTCTTGATGTGGGCACTGAGGGCAATAAATTTGCCCCTCAGGACTGCTTTTGCTGTGTCCCACAAGTTTCTTTGTGAGGTGTTTTCATTTTCATTGAGTTGTAGGAAATGCTTTATTTCTTCTCTGATCTCTTCTGTTACCCAGGCATTGTTAAGGAGTGTGCTGTTCAATTTCCATGTATTAGAGAAATTTCTGCGGTATGCTTTGTTATTGAGAGCTAGCTTGATTCCACTGTGGTCAGATAGGTTACAGGGGATTATGTCGATCCCTTTGTATTTGCTTAAGTTCCTTGCATGAACTATGATATGGTCTATTTTGGAGAAAGTTCCATGAGCTGCTGAGAAGAATGTGTACTGTGTTGTTTTAGGGTGAAATACTCAGTAGATGTCAGTTAATTCTGCTTGAAGTATGGCCTCACTTAATTCGGTAGCTTCTTTGCCAATCCTCTGGTTGGTAGACCTGTCCTTTGGTGAGAGTGGTGTGTTAAAGTCTCCTAGTATTATTGTATTGGGATCTATTTTATTCTGTAAGTTTGAGAGCATTTGTTTGACATATCTGGGTGCACCAATATTTGGGGCATATAAGTTGATGATGGTAATATCCTCCTCTTGGTTTGTTCCCTTTATTAATATGTAGTGTCTGTCCTTGTCTTTCTGTACTGATTTTAATGAAAAGTTAGTATATTTCTTTTTGAGCAATGTCATAACTATCTTCACTCCCAGTTTTTCCTTCCCACCCCCATCCACAAGTTTGAAGTTCATTTTCAACATAGTGTCCAGTGAGTACTATTGCTGCATTTTTTAAATAAGTTTTTTATTGTGAAAATACTATACGGAAAGATTATAATTACATGAGCAAGGTAATGACTACATTTCTTATCAAGCATTGTTGCTTCTCCCTTTGTTTTTCCCCTGCCATCCTTCCCTCCCTTCTCCACAACTACACTCCACCCCACCCTCCCGCCTAAATTGTAAAGTTCGTTTTTTGACATAGCGTCTTGTATATCTCATTGTTACAATGGGTCCACCTGTATCCCTATTTAAGCAATTTGTTTTTTCCCTTCCCCTCCACAAATTATACCAACATCAAATACAGTAAAAACAGGAGTTATACTATGGGAGAGGGACATACAAAGCAACAAAAAAAAAATCACGTGGTACCTTTAAAATACCTTAGAAACAATAGCAAGAAAGAAAAAACCATTTGTGTCCTTATCTTGGGGCTCATTTCGCTTAATATCATCTTATCTGACCTTTTCTGCTTATCTCAGACATATACTATTGCAAATAGGGAAATCATGGAACCTATGTTTCTTTGGGCCTGGCTTACTTCCCTTAATATAATTTTTTCCAAGTCTTTCCATTTCCTAACAAACGGGGCAATGTCATTCTTTCTGATGGAGGCATAGAATTCCATTGTGTATATAGACCATATTTTCTTGATCCATTCATCTACAGAAGTGCATCTGGGTTGGTTCCATATCTTAGCTATGGTAAATAATGCTGCAATAAACATAGTTGTGCTGGTAGCTTTAGTATGGTCTTATTTGTGATCATTTGGGTAAATGCCCAAAAGTGGGATTGCTGAGTCATAGGGGAGCTCCATGTGGAGTCTTTTGAGGAACCTCCATACTACTTTCCAAAGTGGGTGAACAAGTTTACATTCCCACCAACAATGCAGTAGGTTCCCTTCTGGTCACATCCCCTCCAGCATCTGTTGTTATTAGAGTTCTTGATTACAGCCATTCTAACTGGGGTGAGGTGGTATCTGAATGTTGTTTTGATTTGCATTTCTTTTATGGCTAGAGGTTGAGCATTTCTTCATGTGTCTATTGGCCATCCTTCTTTCCTCTTCAGAGAAGTTTCTCTTTAAGTCTTTACACCACTTACTTATTGGGGAGTTGTTTCTCTGAGGATTTGTTGTTGGGGGATTTAATTTTCTGAGTTCCAGGTATATTTTAGATATGAGACCCTTGTCCGTTGTATGGCTAGTGAAGATCTTCTCCCAATCCGTGGGCTTTCTATTCATCTTGCTAGCTATGTCCTTTGCCATGCAGAAGCTCTGCAATTTCATGCAATCCCATTTGTCCAACCTTTCTTTGATTTGTTCTGTTTCTGGGTCTCTATTAAGAAAATTTCGGCCTGTGCCAAGGATACCTAGTGTTTCTCCTATTCCATCCTGTAATGTTTTCAGAGTGTCTGTTTTGACTTTGAGGTCTTTGATCCATTTGGAGTTGATTCTGGTCCAGGGTGATATATAAGGATCTAGCTTTAGTTTTCTACAAGTGATTAAACAATTTTTCCAGCACCATTTACTGAAGAGGCTGTTAAAGCTACCAATTTTCAATGATTTTTTTGGTGCCAGTTCTGGGGCTTGAAGTTAGGGTCTGTGCACTGTCCCTGGGCTTCTTTTGTTGAAGGCTAATGCTCTACCACTTGAACCACAGCCCCATTTTCAGCTTTTTTTGGTAGTTTCATTGGCGATAAGAGTCTCACAGACTTCCCTGCCCAAGCTGGCTTCGAATTGCAATGCACATACGTCAGCCTCCTGTGTAGCCTAGGATTACAGGTGTGAGCCACTGACACTTGACTCAATGTTTTTTTGCATGTAGTAGCACTAGAAAAGGAACAAAGACCTGGTGAGAAAAAGTGAGAGAGAGAGAGAGAGAGAGAGAGAGAGAGAGAGAGAGAGAGAGAGAGAGAGCACTTTCAGCTGCTGGGCCACCTGCTGAACTTGTGGCATATGGGATGATATTGACCTTGATTTGTCTGAGGTCCTTCATCTGCTTTTCACCTCTGTGATTATTGCACTGTTCTCAAAGAAATGTACTTACTTCCCAAAGAGTAAATAGAAAGCAAATGTCTGAACACAATTCTTTATCTATAATATTCTCTTGACAGGGTTTGAAGTTCCGAAGCCAGAGGTCATCTTCAAGTTGGAGCAAGGAGAGGAACCATGGATGTTGGAGGATGAAGTCCCACATCAGAGCTGTTTTGGTAAGTGTGAATCAGGCACAGAGATAAGTAAGTATTTTCTTTCCTTCTGAAACCGGTGATCATTGCTACTGTTTTTCCTCCCAATATGGGGGATGGAACTCAGGACCTCATGTTTGTCATTTAAGCTGTGCTTTCATTCCTTTTGCTTTTAGATTCCTCACTTCTCTACACCTTCCATCCTCTTTCCTATCTTCTGACTTTATGGTCACTGTCACTTAGCAATTTTTCTTTCCTATTTTCCAGTATTTGGGGTTTGAACTCAGTGTCTCAAACTTGCCCAACTGGCATTCTGCCACTAGAGCCATATTCTAGCCCTGTTTTTTGCTGGTTGTTTTGGAGATGGAGGCTCATGGACTTTTCTGCTTAGGCTGGCCTCGATACGTGATCCTCCAGATCAGAGCCTCTTGAGTAACTAGGACTACAGGTATAAGCCACTGGTATCCAGCTCATTTTTTCTTTTGAAATAAATGTTAAGGTATTATTTACATAGAATAAGATGTATCCATTTAAAGTGTACACTTTGTGCTCACTTTGGTAGTATATATGCTAAAAATTGGAACAATACACAGAAGATTAGCATGACCCCTGTACAAGGATGATGTGCAAATTTAAGAAGTGTTCCAAAAAATAAAGTGTGCATTTTGATGTATTTTCATAAAGATACACCAGTTTAACAACCCACTGAATCATGTATGTGACATTCCATTACACAGAATATTTCTTTTTTTTTGGGGGGGGGGGTTCCAGTCGTAGGCCTGAACTCTGGGCCTAAGCGCTGTCCCTCAGCTCTTCAGCTCAAGGCTAGTGCTCTACCACTTGAGCCACAGCGCCACTTCCAGCTTTTTTCTTTTTGTTTATGTGGTGCTGAGGAATTGAACCCAGGGCCTTAGGCATGCAAGGCAAGCGCTCTACCACTGAGCCACCTTCCCAGCCCAACACAGAATGTTTCTGTATGCCCCTTGGACTCAGTAGCCAGAACCACCTTGGTTCTGGGCAACCACTGACATGCTTTTCTTCACTGCAGATGAGACTTGTCTTTATTAGGGCTTCATGTAAATGGAATCATATCCTGTGTACTCTCTTGAGCCTGACTTCATTCATTTAGTACAATGATTTTGTAATTTATCCTTGTTACCAAATATGTCACTAGTCTTACTCCTCTTAAATTCTGAGAAATATTCCATGGTGTGACTATACAGGTTGAGCATCACTCATTAAAAAATTAAAAAGCTAAAATGCTCTGAAGTCTGATTTTGGATTGCTTATTTTTATTTTATTTTATTTTTGTTGGTCATGGGGCTTAACTATGGGCCTGGGCGCTGTCCCTCAGCTATTCAGCTCAAGTTGAACACTCTACCACTTGAGCCAAAGCACCACTTCTTATTTTTTTGGTGGTTTGTTGGAGATAAGAGTCTCATGGACTTTCCTGCCTGGGCTGGCTTTGAACTGCAATTTCCAGATCTCAGCTCTCTGAGTAGCTAGGATATCAGGTGTGAGCCACCAGTACCTGGCTGCTTAATTATTTTTGAAGTAGGGATGTTTTAACTGATAAAATCAATGCAAATATTCTAAAAGAAAAAGAAAAAAACCTCTGCTCACACCTGTAATCCTAGCTACTCAGGGGGCTGAGATGTGAGGACTGCAGTTTGAAGCCAGCCTGAGCAGAAAAATCATCAAGACTCTATCTCTAATTAACTAGCATAAAGCTAGAAGTTGAGTTATTACTTAAGTGTTAGAGCACCAGCTTGGGTAGAAAAGCTAAGGGATAGCATCCAGGCCTCAAGTTTAAGGCCCAGTAATCACATACACACAGAAATCTCCAAAATCTAGAAATCTTTTTGTCTCAATTATTTTGGATAAAAGGTACTTAAACAGACTTATAATTTGTTAATCTATACATGTGTCTATGGATAGCTTATTAAAATTTGGTAATTATAAATGAAGCTGCTGCAGTCAAATTTGGTTCTTTTTGTTTTGTTTTGTTTTGTTTTTGGTGGTACTGAAGTTTGAACTCAATTTCTTTCACTTGCTGGTCAGGCACTCTACCACTAGAGCCATGCTTCTAGCCCTTTTTGCTCTGGTTATTTGTGAAATAGGATCTCATACTTTTTGCCTGACTTCAGATTGTGATCCTCCTACTTCTACCTCTGCCTAGCTGGGATTATAAGATAACCATTCCTGTTTTCTTATTTTTGTTTTTTGTTTGTTTTGGTGGTACCAAGGTTTGAATTTAGGGCTTCATGTTTGCCAAACAGGTGCACTACTGTTTGGGCCATGTCTCTAGCCATTTTAGCTCTGGTTATTTTTGAGATAGGCTTTCCTTTATTGAGTGGGCCACTCTGGACCACAACCCTCCTATTTATACTTTCTGTTATAGCTTAGATGACAAGCACATGCCACTATGACCAGCTTTCTCTGATGAGATGGGTTTTTGTGAACTGTTGTTTTCTTTTTCTCAGGCTGGCTTGTTACATGTCCCCAGTGACTTACTTCCTTCAGCTAGGCCCCAACTTTGTTTTTATTACCTTCCAATAATGCCATCCTGTTATGACCACATCAAGGAATTAATCCATTGATGAGATCAGAGCCCCTAGGATCAAATCACTTCACAGAAGACCATCAGCTTTCAACCAAGTCTTCAATATGTGGATTAGGGGGGCATTTTTTACCTAAATCCTAACCTTTGGGAAAATTCCAGAGATTGGACTTGCTGAATCATACATACATGTATACTGGCCTTTAACCAAAAGATTGCCAAACTGTCTGCAAAATCAGTTATATGATTTTATGTTCCCAAGAGCAATAATATAGTTATTCCTGTTGCTTCACCTCCTCCTCAACATTTACTAGTATCAGTCTTTCATTTTTGTTATTCAACTGTATGCACAATAGTGTTGCAGTATGATTTAAGTTTTATTCCTCTGATAAGAGTAAAGGTCCGATCGTGGGGCCTGAACTCTGGGCCTGGGCGCTGTCTCTCAGCTCTTCAGCTCAAGGCTAGTGCTCTACCACTTGAGCCACAGAGCCACTTCCGGCTTTTTTCTTTTTGCTTATGTGGTGCTGAGGAATCGAACCCAGGGCCTCATGTATGCAAGGCAAGCACTCTACCACTGAGCCACCTTCCCAGCCCCGCTTAGCGTCTTTTATACATTTGTTAATGAAACATCTATTCATGTCTCCTGCTTTTACTGGGTTGTTTGTCTTTGTCTTATTATTGAGGGTGTTTTGTTTTATTTTGAAAATGATGTCTTTCTATGTAGGCTAGACTGGCCTTAAATGTTCAATCCTGTCTACTGTCTCCTAAGTGCTTGGATTATAGGTGAACCCCACCAGGCATAGTAGATTTTTTTTAATCATCTTTTTTGTTTTAGGTGCATAGTATTCTTTTTATATATGTATGTGATGGAAGGACCAAGGCTCGCTCTCTGTGGTGTGTGTGTGTGTGTGTGTGTGTGTGTGTGTGTGTGTGTGCTGGTCAACTCAGGGCCTGAGTGCTGTCCCTGAACATTGTTTGTTCAAGGCTTGCACTCTACCACTTGAGCCACAGCTCTACTTCTGAATTTTTTTTTTTTTTTGTCGGGCATAGGGCCTGAACTCTGGGCCTGGGTACTGTCCCTTAGCTCCTCAGCTCAAGGCTAGTGCTCTACCACTTGAGCCATAGAACCACTTCTGGTTTTCTGGTGGTTTATTGGAGATAAGTGTCTCATGGTCTTTCCTGCCCGGGCTGGCTTTGAACCACAATCCTCAGAGCTCAGCTTCCTGAGTAGCTAGGATTACAGGCATGAGCAACGAGTGCCCAGCTCACTTCTGACTTTTTTATGCTTAATTGGAAATAAAGAGTCCCATGGGGGCTGGGAAGGTAGCTCAGTGGTAGAGCGCTTACCTTGCATGCATGAGGCCCTGGGTTCAATTCTTCAGCACCACATAAGCAAAAAGAAAAAAGCCGGAAGTAGCTCTGTGGCTCAAATGGTAGAGCACTAGCCTTGAGCTGAAGAGCTTAGGGACAGCGCCCAGGCCCAGAGTTCAGGCCCCACGACTGGACCCCCCCCCCCCCAAAAAAAATAAAAAGAGTCTCATGGACTTTTCTGCCCAGACTGGCTTCGCACCATGATCTTAGCATCTTGAATAGCTAGGGTTATAGTCATGAGCCACTGGCATCCAGCTAAGGCTCATTTTTAAAATACTGATATCTATTTGTTCTAAATTGTTGAAGAAGTTTGATTTGTTTCATTGAATTTCTTTGGCATGTTTCCTAAAATTGATTTATTTTCTGAACTACCGGAGCGGTTAAATCCCAATAAACACATTAAAACTGCAAATGTAAGGCAAGAATGCAAGTAATTCATGAACCTACCACTGTTTTGTTCAGTTGACCATGAGGATGAAGTTTAGGAGAATTGGCATCTTAAGCATGGCATAGTTCTGCAGTCATTTATGTATTTTAATGCCTTTTAGCAGAGTTTTATTCTTTTCAATGTAGAGATCTTATGCACCCTTCATTAATTTTATCTCTAAGTATTTGATGTTTTTTTCAAACTGTTATAAATGTCTGCATTGTAATTTTATTTTGGGATTGTTCTTTGCTAATATATAATAACAATGTAAATTAAAAAAATTTTCAGCTTGTTAGTACAAATTGCTGGCAATTGATTTTTGTACACTGACTTTGTATGTTACTGAATCTACTAATTCGTTTTCTTATAAGTTCCTTGGGGCTTTTTCATCTAAGTAATCATTATCTAAAAATAGAGACACGTTGACTCCTTTTCCAATCTCAGGCTTTTGATTGCTTTGCCTTTCCTTTAAAAAAAAAAAAAAAACTAAGACTAAAGTATAGTTGAGTGCTGTGAGCGTGGGCATGCTTTCTTTCCCTGTTCCTGATATTAGGAAGGAGAATCAAGGTTTTTCACCCTTAACTGTTATGTAAGCTGTGGGATTTTGCTAGCTGCCCTTTATGAGGTTATGTAAGCTCCTTTCAATCCTAGCTTGGTGAAGTGCTTATTTTTTTTAAACATGGTTGAGTGTTATCTTTTGCCAAGTACTTTATTTCTTTTTTTCTCATTACTTCTGCTAATATGGTGAGTTTGTTTCTGGATTTTTTAACTATTGAATTAACCTTGCATTTCTCAGATAAATACTGGTTAGATTTGGCATACTCTCCTTAATACATAATGTTGGATTCTATTTGCTAATATTTTGTTTAAAACATTTGCAGTTTTCATGAGTAATTCTGATTCCACAGTTTTCGTTTTTTGCAATGTTTTTGTCTTGTTTTGATATTAGAGTTATGCCGACCACATAAAAGGAATTTTGAAGGGTTCCTTTTTCTGCCTTTTTTGCCTGTCCTGGGGCTTGAACTCAGGGCCTGGGCACTGTCCCAGGCTAGTGTTCTACCACTTGAGCCACAGCACTACTTCCAGCTTTTCTGTGTATGTGGTACTGATGAAGTGAACCCAGGGCTTCATGCATGCTATGCAAGCGCTCTTCCACTAAGCCACATTCCCAGCTCTGCTTTTTTGAAATACCTCTCTAAGACTATTGTTTTTATGCTTCATGGAATTCACCAGGAAAACAATCTAGACCTGAAGTCTCCCTCCTTCCCTTCTTCCCTCTTTCTCGTCTTCCCTTCT